ATGTGGGCGTTTGGGGGGGTGGGAGGGCGTGGATTGGTCGGGGGTTCCGTAGGCTGGCGGGGGAGGGGAGTGCGGGGGGTCGTATTTTTGGGATTGTGGTTGTGCCATTTTTGGGGCTGGGTTTCAAGGGATGGATGGGAATGAGGAGAAGAGTGTTGGTGTTGAAGTGAGGAAGATGTGGCGCTGTGGATGTTTGAGGATCGATGAGGTGTAAATTGGCTTTGGGTGTGATACGAGCTCAAAAGAGGTTGGTTTGGAATCTCCTTTGTTTGTGTTGTGGATATCCTGAATAGGCTTCAGATGATATTTGTTGGGATTCTTGGTCGCGCGATTATTGGATTTCCTCGAGGATCAATGTCGTTGGAGAGAAAGAGATAGAGAAAGTCGGTCGAAGTACGATTGCTTACGACGCTTCTCCTCAGAAATGACTTCACCTGTCGTGACCGGCGAGTACTAAACTGACCGAGGGTTCCGGTAAGAGTAGGAGAAAAGGCACGGTACGGGCCTTGGGATTATAGAGATATAAAGTTTGGTTTTACAAAGAGAAGGAAGCAAAGGTAGTAGATATGGTAGGAAAGGAGAGGAAATGTGAGAATGAGGAGATGTTTTAGATATGAACGATACGCAACATTTGATGTCGCAAGCACTTGCACTGCACTGCCAAGCAGCCAGCGGCTGTGCGCCACTGTGGCGCACTTGAACTTGGCGCACTTGAAGATACCCCTCATCATGTGAACATGCGAGATGCTTTCCACTGTCCGTACTTCTATTTTGTCTTATAATTGGGGGAAGGGGAAGAGGCTTGTTTTGCGAAACAAAAAGAAGTGACGTATAATAATAACACGTCTATTAATAACCTTCCATCATCTCGGAAGACAACGGCAATCCTACGCATATCCCCAACCTCCCCAAAACTAACATTTCGACCCCTCCCCTCTATCATCGCCCGTTGACCTGTAAACCCCACTAGACACCCAAGTAAATAAACCCAACCTCCTATTTTTTGATAGTCAATATCAAGACAGCAGAGCCTTCAACCCCCCCTCTTCTTCTTCCGAAGCATCCGCAAAAAACACAAAAAAAAACAAGGCATTACAGTACTTTTTTTTCTGTCCAACCCGAAGCTCCGGCGTTCTCGCATTCGGCTCCAAACCCGCAGCGAGCAATATAATGGATTTCTAACCTTCTCTTCCTTCGAACTTACTTACACCTTCTCACACACTCCCTCTCACCTGTCCAAAATATTTGTTCTTCTCGATATACAGTATCGTCACTCATTCATCAATCGATCGATCAGTCAATCAATCAATCAATCACTCGATTCTATCTGATCCCCGCCTTCTCTTGAAAGAAGAAAACCAATCCTCCTTGCCTGTTGTTATCGCAACCGAGGTCACAGAGCTTGGACCCTATAAACAAGATCAGCAGCCCCGTCGCATCGCATCCCATTTAACCTGTTTGCGAAACCAACGTCACATTATCAATCAATAAACCTCGTCGCATTGCATCTCATCGCAACCCCCAGAACAAGAGAGCACGAAAACAAACCGTCCTCGTATCGCCTCTGAGCGACCGAGTCGCAATGGCTCCCATTCCTCTATCAAACCTCGAGGCAGCCTCGTCCGCCATATCCAACATCGCGAAGCGGCTTCCTATAGATCTCACCAACTCGGTCCTCGGACGAGACCCAACTGCACTACCCACGCCGACAACGACGACAAGCACGGCACGTTCATTGTTCTCACGTATATTATCCTCCAAGCGCTCTACAACCTCCATAATCCCTACCGGCTACGGCGCCATCGATTCCGGCCCCGCACCAGGTACAATCGTCGGGATAGTCCTCGGCAGCGTCGGTGGCTTCCTGTTGATCTTATGGTTAATATACACATGTTTGAATTTCGGGGCCCCGGTGGGCTTCGGCGGCGGCGAGAGTGCGTATACGGAGAGTGTGGTAAGGGAGAGGAGGAAGAGTCATCATAGCGGGAGTAGGAGGAGTAGGAGGCCCAGCGAGGTATGTATTCATTCATTCATTCATTCTTTCTTTCCCCCTCTTAAAGAGCTTGCTTTTTATGCGCGTGCAAAAAAAACAAAGAACTCTACTAAGATATTGCATCAACTAACAGCCTCGCTCCTCCATCAGACGATAGAAATCCGCTCGCACTCGCAAGTCCGCGCCCCCTCGCCCATACGTATCGTGCGCGAGCCTTCACCGCCCCGCGCCGAACGTATTATTGTAGAGGAACACCGCGAGGAACGTAGGAGAGGGGGGGATGATGAGGTGGTGGTTATCGAGGAGCATAGTCCGCCGCGTAGGAAGAAGAGTCATAGGGATAGAGAGAGGGAGATTAGTCGGGAGAGAGATGTTGATAGTGGGTTCCGGACCGTGGATCCGTTAGCGTATGGCGGTGTTGTGGGTGGGAATCCGAGGCGGGGGAGTAGGAGGGGGAGGGATTGATATTCGTTTTACTTCTTGTAGGGACCGGTGGTTGGGTAGGGTAGGGTTTGGGAGGCAGGAGGATACAGCACTGCAAGGACTCTTGCTATGATATGAGATGGATGGGCATTGCATTGGCAGGGCATTTACGAATAGCTAACTGGCTGTGATGCATCTTGTGCTTTTTATCTATACCTGGCGAGCAACGTAGCATAGCATATATATACAACATGTAGCATACCAATGAATAAAGACATTAAATTTAGACACCGGTTTAACAGTACTGATTTCTCTCAGTGCTCCATCCATCCACTTAAGAACGAATACTCTCGATCGCAACTGTACAAACTTTTCAGTAGAGTGCCTATAGTAGGATAGGCAAACTTCTAGTATCGCTAGTCTGAGTCGGCTCGGTTCGACTGACTACCACTCCACCCTTGTCTAGACTTAGGAGCATGAGATACGGAGTAAAATCTGACCGCAGGGGAAACTCCATATCATCTCAAAAATGGTAGGCCGGTTGAATAGAGGAAGAGATAGAGATAGATAGCAAGACTGACTAATCTTCTCTGCGATGTCGGACTCGGATCTCAGCTGCTGTCAGCATCGGCGGGTTGTTCATCCAGCCTGGTTTCATTGGTGGTTGGACGATTGGATGATTGGACTTTGAAAGCGAGACCCCAGCTTTATCTTGCACTTGCACTTGCATCTGCGGTGCCTCTATACGTAGACTCGGTGTGGTACGATTGGAGAATTCGAGCTGGAACAGGCGGTGGAAGGCTTAACATTGTTCCATGGCCAATCGGGGATTTTCCCAATCACATGGTTGGTGGAAGGTAAGCTTATAATGTGCCCGCTATCGACCCAAATGGATTCTGAAGGGCGTGCTCTTCAAACTTGACATGCGCAGGCCCCACTTAAACTATCCCCATCCCAGACGCCATGCTACGTGACTGTTCTCCGCTTCAAGTATGGCGGGGTTGAGTAAGATGATTACAACTTAGAACCTCCCTTCCTCACCTCTTGTGAACCTCTCTCTCTTCTTCATACCACGCCTTTCCCTTGATTCTGCCTCTCTCCTCGTATGTACAGTACCAGTGGTACCACATACGAGTACACCATCTCCCACTCTCCACCACGCCCTCTGAATGACTACCATTGACGAGGACATGGACGAGTTTTTCAATTTCGAAGATGCTGCCCATCCATTGGACCACAGCACCGACATCGACTTCACTGACTTCCCCTCGGGTCCCTACGATGTCAATCTCGCATTTGCAGAACAAGAAAATGACGAGAATTCTTTTATGTGCTTACAGCACTTCTCGGCCCCAGAAGAGCACCTCAATTTCGATCTCGACGGCCATATGGACACCACCATGTTGAGCCCCGCCGATTTCACAGACTTTGGAAGATGGATTGACGGCTCAGGTGTCCCAACTGAGCCCTGCGCTTATTGTCGCCGCATGAGGATTCATTGCAAGATCATTAATGAGGGTCTGCGCAAGGGCTCTTGTACAAGCTGTGTTGCGCTTGCGAGGTCTTGTAGCTTGACTCATGAGCCGTCTCGCTTGATTTCCCACCCACCGAAAGGAACACAACAGGAGGGTAGACGCTCATCGGCTGAGTTTTCCTTGCTAGGTAATGCTATCAGTAATGATAATAGTGACGTTGAACTCTTGGCTGGCCCTCAAGCTCAAGCTCAAGCGTGTGAGCAATGTGAGTATTGTCGAAGTCGAGGTTATCAATGCAAGTATATCCAGGAAGATGGCCGTGTCGGTGCCTGTACTAGCTGCGTTGCCCTTGTTCGGCATTGCAGCTTGGCCCCTGTTGATGATCTTGCCGACTGGAAGATTGACGACGGCATGGATGCGACCAATGCTTGGATCCCGACCAAGTCTCCCTTGGAATCTCCCATCGCTTCCTCACATAACAGGTCTGCGCCCAACTTGCTCTCACTGAGATCCTCAGACGAGAACATGAATGGCGAGGCCAATGAAAGCAATCCGAAAGTCGGCGCAAGGTTCTCCAGAGATTCAGTCCGTATTCTCAGGGGCTGGCTATCAACTCATCATCGCCATCCATACCCAACAGACGAAGAGAAAGAGGGTCTTCAACGTCAGACTGGTCTCAACAAGACCCAGATCACCAACTGGCTAGCAAACGCTCGTCGGAGGGGAAAGGTTCGTGCACCTCGATCAACTTCCCCAAGCGTGAGCAACTATTCCAAGGCAATGGACATCCCACGACGTGCTACCCCTGCTCTTGAAAACATGAATCCGCTTGAAAGATGGAAACATTCTCCTCCCGAAAACGAACCTGCTTCCGTCACCGCTATAGCTAAAGCCGTTACTTCGTCCACCTGGTCATCCGGTCGCGACAGCCCTTACGCTACGAGTTACGGACGTTCAGACGATGGTTCTTGCAACATCTCATCTACCAGCAGTTTCGGCACGTCGCATTCGAGTGGTGGTTCGTTTGCTTCTGCCTTTTCACACAAATCACAAGGCTCATTTGGTTCTTTTGGGTCTCTAAACATCAATGCCAATCGGGGACGAAGGCGTCGTCGTCGCCAAGCACCCAAACCTGTCAAGTTACCCAACATGAATGGCCCAATTCGTACCTTCCAATGTACTTTCTGTACCGAAACCTTCAAAACCAAGCATGATTGGCAAAGGCATGAGAAGTCCTTGCACTTGTCACTTGAGCGGTGGATCTGCTGTCCCAATGGACCTACTCAATTCTCTGTGGAATATGATCAAATGCGTTGTGTGTTCTGCGGCCTTCCAAACCCACCTGATGGACATGCAGAAATGCACAATTATTCCAGCTGCGCGGACCGATCGTTGGAAGAGCGAACATTCTACCGGAAAGATCATTTGCGACAACATTTGAATCTTGTGCACGATGCCAAGTTTCAAGGCTCAATGGAATCCTGGAAAGTAGCCACACCTGAAATCAGATCCCGATGTGGTTTCTGTGGTGTTGTAATGGGCTCTTGGACTTTTCGAGTAGATCATCTAGCAGAGCATTTCAAGGGCGGAAAATCTATGGCTGACTGGAAGGGTGACTGGGGTTTCGATCCTCAAGTGTTGGATATTGTTGAGAACGGAATGCCTCCATGTAAGTCTTCTTGAATATTGCTTGAAACAGAAACTGACAGTGAAATAGACCTTATTCATGACGAGCGGAATAGCGTCAAGCCATATGAAGCTTCGAAAGAAAAGGCTCACGAATCGCGGACTTTGGAAGATCTTATCAAAATTGGGCTGGTGGAGTATGTGCACGATAGAATCATCAAAGGCGGGGTGCCAACAGACGAAGAGCTACTAAATGGAGCTTGCCGGATTATTCGCAGATCTGACGAGCTCCTGGGTTCTCCTGGTGACATTGAGGTATCTTGGTTCCGCGATCTCATCTTGTTCTCGAGGGATAATGCTAGGGTTGACGAGGACATGTTGCAGCCTACAAACATAGGCCTTCCCTGGGCGAAGAAAGCGGAACTTGTCCACGGCTCGCTTCCCTACACTTGTAAAACAGACGAGAGTGTTATCAAGTGCCCAAAGGAGCGGGCCCTGAAGTTATTTGTCGACGCACAGCAGGCCTTAGGACTAACACCCACGACCTCCCAGCTACAGATCGAAGCCTGCCAAATTCTTAGCGACATTGAGAAGACCTCAAATTTTAAGTCGAAACCTGCCCTGGGCTGGTTCAAATATTTGGCCACGGCTTCGACAAATTGGCTTGAAGACTTTAGGAGGCGGGCAGGATTGCCGCGGACTTCGGAAATGAGATCTGAGAATATTCGTTCAACCGATGACAAGAGCATTGATTATAGCATTCATAATCAAGCCAGACTTGAGCAAGAGCTGATAGCCTGGGTCCAACTGCAACGAGCTCTTGATATCACGCCAAGTGATGCTGATATTCAGAGGAAAGCGCGGTTAATGGTATACAAGAACGACGATCCTTGGAATCAAACTGTTATGGATGATCCTGCAATGCTACACTTGTTCAAGCGCCAACGTGGCCTTGCACCTGAGAACGAGGACGGCCCTGATATGCCAACCCTTTCGGAAGCACTTGAGCTAGGCCTATCGCCAGCAAGTTCAGACCCTTCACAGAAGACTTTGCACTGGGCGTTGGACCAAAATGCACTTGGGTTACCGTCACCAAGTTTAGCAGACAGCGGCAATAATAGTGCACCTGGAACTGGAACACACACGCCGAATCACGACCAACCCCTTCTTCACACCACGATTCAGAACCAGCCATCCGCAAACTCTAATCCCGTCATGCCACTTAAATACTTCCTCAACGATGCCAACTGTTACGGCCGACTTGTCCGCGAGCTCTCTCGATTCGTCACTACCTGCACCTCAGCCAACAACCCCAACAGACACGTAAGAACCCACTACCAAACTCTTCAAATCAAATCATATTAACACAGCCTCTAGATCCCCACCGACGCCGAAATCCAAAACCAAGCCCGCTGGATAATCTACGACGACGACGACCCCTGGAACCAAACCGCAGCCGACAACGCCGAATGGCTCATCCGCTTCAAGCGCAACGTCGGCCTCGCGCCCCCAACCGAAGGGCCCGGCCTCCCCGTCACTTCTAGTTCCTGGCAAGTCGCAGCCGGCGGCTCTGGCTTCTGCCCTCCGTACCTCAAGGCTAAATCTCCACTATCATTCAACGAGAACGAGCCCGTGCCCGTGCGCATGGAAGATAAAGTCTACCAGATCAAAGCGACCACGGCGCAGAAATTCATCACCGGTCTCGCGGAACGCTACCAACCTCCCGCTTCTGTCTTCTGTTCCCGCGAGCTGGAGAACGGGCTGAATAACTACGTGCATGTGCGGATGACTGAGGGCGTCGTACCGAGTGATGACGAGCTCAAGGCTGAAGCGCGGGTTATATTGGGCACTGAGCAGACGGCTGCCGATGACCCATTACTGCTTGAGAAATTCAAAGCGTTGCATGGGATTGTCACTGATTACAACTTGCATGATGTCCTGGCACAGTTTGATGCTGAGTTGGAGATGGGAGGGATGGATTTCAGCTCCGCGGAGATGACTGGTCTTGATGTTGGTCTTGGTATTGGCGGCGCTGCTGGTGGTGGAGGGGGGGAGATGGACATCACGCCTCTGATTCCTGGGGGAGAAATCACACCTGGCATGCTCCAGAATGAACAGACGGAGTTGGCCATGGGCGTCGCGAAGGAGTATGCGGATCTGTATCGTGTGCAGGTTACCACTGCGTCGCCGTTGAGGAGGAGGGCGACTCGGAAGCTGGCGGAGAGTAAGGGCTTTAGCGTTCCGACGACGCAGTAGGGGCGGGGTGAGGTTCTTGTGGGAGGGAGTTATCTGGAGTTGAATGGAGAGAAAGGTTAGAAGCTAGGGGGTTTTTAAAGCGGTCTCGATAGTGTATATGGTTTGTTTCTTTGTTTGCAGAGAGAGTCTCAGTAACGTTTTACGATTGAATGGGAACTTGGGATGGAAAAGCTGAATTGTTTCTTGCTAACTCTACATATATAATACTTCGTTTTCTATACAAGGATCTAGCTATATGAAAATAGACATGATATACTTTGTAATTAGGTTTACCACAAGTGCTCCTCATGTGTAGAGATGAGTATAGTCCATTGGTATTTCAATAAAGACCACATGCGGTAGGCATTCCTGCATCCGTCCGCCGCTTCAATACTGTATACAAACGCTTTCCTTGAAAGTCGGTGTAGTCTAGAGTACAGGCTTTGAAATTTTCAGTAATAAGCTTAAATAATAAGATTACGAGAACTTGATCTGGAAGTCGAATGCGCTGGCTGCTACGCCGCTGGAAGGAAGGCCCTGTTATCCAGGGGGGGGGGGGGGGGGAGGTGGGTTGATACTAGACTAGACTAGGCACCTTATCTTTAGCGAAGTATTCGCTTATGATTATACTCTCCCCACCCCCTTAATAAATGTTATATCACGTAAAGTCCCCATAATACGTAGAATACTATGGAAATGAATGGCTAGAACCCTTGCAGTGGCCCGTGAATGGTACTTGTAAGGTCCTTGTAAGGTCCCACTAGGCCCTAGATATAGTGATATCATTTGCTGAATTGCCCTGTTTACGCGGTGGGGCGAAGGATCATTAACCTTTATTAAGGGGGGGGAGTAGAGGTAAGAATCGAAGTGGAACTATACCTTACAGTAGGTACTGTACTATAGCCTCCTTAAGTAAATCTACTAGATTATTGGTGTACCTAGATTCTTTAAGTAATCTTAATGATTGGTAGTTTTACCTGCTGTAATATATGTAGTAGCTATATAATCGATAACGAGTTTTCTTTAAGTGACTCTATCTCTAATCTACGTTAGATTTTGGATGTACTAATTAGCGCGCGTGGAGCAGGTAGAAATATACGCTTTACTTCGTACATTTGACGTATAACGCTTAATTGACTAGGATGATGAGGACTGATCTAGACTAGAACACAAGTGATATCCCTTTTCAGGAAACGATATTTGAGGATCTGCAAACATTCAGCTTGTACTGTACGCGTTAAGCTAGATTGGTAATGCGCTAGTAACAGAGGAGGGCGAGGAGGGCTGGAGGGTTACAGTACATGTGCATCTTTTGTTTAGCGACCCGACCTTTGGTACGGACCGGAGTATGGACGGACCGGGGTTATTATCAGACACTTGTAGATTCTTGCTTGAAAGGTGGCTTTTGATGGGTCTGCGTGCATGGCATTGGCAACTTGCAGGAGGGTGGAAAGGATTCAGGTGCATTCGGTGCGTAAGTGCGGCTCGTGGAATAGGTAGGCAAGGAGGGTAGATTGTTCTATAAAGCTACCAGCAGGTACGTACTGCATCTGATGACTTATTTGAGTCACACAGAAGCTTAAAAATATCCGTCTCCTTGTCTAACATGCCTTCTCCTTTCCCCAAACCAGGACTTCGAGTCTTTACATTGCTACTACTACACTTTACATATATGACCCACGCAACTCCACTCCAATACAACAACGCATTGCGTATCCTGCACCGCCAAAACCCCACTCCCCCAGACCTAGACCCTTTTTACTCAACTCCGCCTGGACTCAATGTCTCGTCCCCAGGAGACATCCTGCGCTACCGCCCCGTGCCATACCCAATCGCCGCATTCAACACCACCGTCCTGAACCTAGCCGCAGCATTCCACATCCAATACCGAACGACTGACAGCCTCGGGAATCCCGAAGCAGCCATGACAACCCTACTAATCCCCCTCAACGCCGACCCCGCGAAACTGCTCTCCTACCAGATAGCCGAGGATTCCGCATTCCAGTCCTGCGCTCCCTCCTTCGCGCTGCAAAAGATGTCCGCTTCAAACGTCACTAGTTCCATCGAGCTGGCGTTCATCGAAGCAGCGTTGAACAAGGGCTGGTACGTCGTCACGCCGGATTTCGAGGGCCCGAAATCAGCGTACGTAGCTGGTCCACAGGCCGGACACGCGGTTTTGGATTCGCTACGAGCGGTGATGCAATCCACGGCTTTTTCAAACATCACGGAGGAACCGAGGACTGCGTTGTGGGGGTATTCGGGTGGTGCTTTTGCGAGTAATTGGGCGTTGGAATTGCAGGCGAGTTATGCGCCGGAATTGAACTTGGTGGGTGCTGCGACGGGAGGGACGATCAATAACATTGCTGGTGCTTTCAGCGCGATCAATAACGGGATACTGGCTGGTCTTATCCCAACTAGCTTTATGGGTCTCGCAGCCGCGTATCCTGATTTCTCGGAAGCCCTGGAGGAGGAATTGGTACCGGAGACTGCAGCGACTTTCAAGACGGTGTTGACGGAATGTTCGTCGGGCGATTCGAGCGCCTTTACTGAACAAGACATGCTCTTGTACTTCAAAACCGGCGCTGCGTTTCTAAATACAAGTATAGTGCAAAGCACGCTCGATAAAGTGAATATCGGGAAACACGTGCCTATTACACCGCTGTATATCTATAAATCTATCAACGATGAGATTAGCCCTATCTCTGATACAGATGTGTTTGTGGATTTCTACTGTGAGGGTGGAGCGGACGTGGAATATAGGCGCGACGAATTGTCCGGGCACATCACGCTTGCTATTACGGGGGCGGGAGAGGCGTTGGCGTGGTTGGAGGAGCGGATGGCGGGGGTTGCTGTTCAGAGTGGATGTAGGACGACGAGTGTTGTGTCGACGCTGTTGGATCCGGTTGGTGTGCTGGCGTTGGGGGATATTGTTGTGGGGGCTTTGCTTGGATATCTTGCTGGGATGTTGGAGTCTTTGAAATAAGTAGAAAGGATGGGTGTTGTGGAAGTATTGTATGAAGGGTATTTAATGTAATTCTGTTCAATTGTTGATGCATTGGACGGGGTGCTTTGGGAAGGTTTAAATGAGCATACCGTGAGGTAGGTCGAATATAACGCAAATATCGAAATTTAGGAGTTCTAAACAAGAGGTTTTCTCTCGCCATCATTCCATGCAGCGGATTATATCTGCTCTCACTTGGCTAGGCTTCGACATTTGCGAGCATTTGAGAAACGCTCGAGATTGTGAGAAGAGAAATAGAGCGCAGTCGTGGAGACATACACTTGCTACATCTTTTACCAATGATTCCATGACAATTAGCAATACCGCTGTTATAGAACCGCATAAGGACGAAGAGTTTAAAGGAATGACGTACCAAGGCATGGGTTCGGGAAACGGCTTCATTCTTTTTTAGAACGGAGTTCATGAAGCGATCGAGAAACACTTACGTCCCTTTCTTAGTAATGAACGCAGTTTCGCATACACAGTTCCTAGAAGCCATTAGAACTATAGAGAACATTACTTGTACCCCGGAAACGACGGTAGAAGATCTAAAGATGATGGCGAGGAAGTTACGCCGAGACGGATGTTTGAGAAGAGGATTCGGTGGGATGAATCTTGTGGTATAGAGGAGTGTCTTTAGGGAAGATACCTTATTAGACTTGAACCTAGGATAATGGGTTTTTTGAAGATTCAGCAGAGTTCTTGGTAAGTCCCGCACCAAAAGCATTTGAGAATCTTCTAAATGGTCATTAGCAAAACGCTACTGGAAAATTGTATCGCAGTGAAAAGGAGGGTGTTACTTTTGGCAAAGACTAAACGAAAGGCATATGCCGAAAATCTCAAAAATATTTAGTCAATAAGGATGTAATGCCCCGGATCGATTCAAGTTCCAGCTTTCAGCTTGAAATGTGGCATTCTCGGTCTCGCTTAATCTTCTAGTTACAAGCTCGATTACTAAAGTCTTAAAAGGGGGGGTCGAGGAAACCAACCTAGCTGAAAGACCCACTATCCCCGCTTCTCAGATCCCGAATGTGATACAACCGCTTCACAACCCATGACAAGGAGAATTCCACTCATAGATGATCAACCCAGCCTTGACGAGATTGTCTATTAACACGTAGCTGTCATACGTTACGCATGCTACAGCATACTGTATTCTAAGCGAATTCTGTATACTCTACCCCGCCTACAGCATATCCTCATGTTTAGCTATGTCGGTAGTTACGAAGAGCGAGCGCATGATAAACAGAGATTTTTGGACAGTGGCGAGTGAAGTAACACTGCAGAATTCCGTCGATCAATTTGCGAGTACCCGTGTAACTTATTGACATAAACACATAATAAAGATCAGTGACTCGGTGGTGTTTTGGCTTGTCCTACCTCTTAAGTGTGCCACGAATACGTAAGCCGTCATGTAAATACTCTTCTTTTCCCTTCCTGGGCGAGCATTGCATAGAGTTTTGGTATGCAGATGCTTTGATCTTCCTTCTGGGAAATACTAAGATGCAAGTCGCGTCAGTCTGTCTTACCACACCTCTCCCTTGTTCTCCTTTGCCCTCATCGGCCTCAGACTCTCAATCTTCTTCGTACCTATTCGTCTAATTGTAATGTGCTACTTGCATAAGTAGGAAAGATGACAATGCTGGCTAAGGTAAGCTGAATCTCAAATATATAAGTAGCAGTTCCGCCTAGACTGTGAGCTGAATCAGAGCAGCCAGAGTTCTTCAATTCATCTTGTATCGATTCTTCTATATCCTAAACATCTCAAGTTTTCATTTGGATCTCGCTATGTCTCCAAAGTCGAAGAAGGTAGTCTCTGATGTCATCGTTGGCCCTGGAGCCGGCGAATGGTATGGAACGCTTGTTACCAACAACATTCGTTACGAAGATGGTTCTGCAGTGACTATCCAGAAATTCCTGGGCGTCAAGTTCAAGTCACCTACCGTCTCAGAGAGCATCACTGTCAATGCACTGCTCAGCCCATGGCAGCAAACTTCAGCAGATATTTCCATCGAGAAAATTGACGATAAGTCAATCATGGTTACGGCGAAGGTTCAGGTACAGAAAAGCCATACGTTCCAGTCACATGATACACTCACTTGGGGCATCAATGGCAACCTAACAAACAACCCCGAAGATTATACGAACTCGTTCGAGCTCTACGTCGATGAGTTTCCCAGCGGCACAGTTGAGGTCCAATGTGCAGAGGCTCCGCAGAAGGAACTTGCCGACTCGGTACAGGCCCTGAATCTCGTCCAGGACGGTTCACCCACTGTGCTCTCCGTATCGCCCGGAACATCCAAGTCTTTCGAAGTGATATCTGGCAAGTATGCCGTCAAAGCCGAAGACCTTACCGATTCAGCCGAAACTTTTGTTTCCAGCGCTCAAATCTCCCTTAGCCAAGTGACAATCACAACGGGCGAAACCACAGCCATCAAGGTAACTTATGGAACTGTTCACAGATACTGTGCCATGGATGTGAGTATCGGCCGGCTATCCTCACCGATCGACAAGGAACAACTGCATGTCACAATTGTCGGTCAAGAGAGCGGCAAGCAGCTCGCCGACTTCTTCGGCACCAACAACAGCCAGACGAATTTGCGTCGGCTACCATCAACGGGACAGGCGGAATTCAAGGCCCAGATCACCATGAACAACGTCATGTATCTTGCTTCCAAAAATTTGCAGTTGGCGAACCATTTGATCGACGTCAATGTTGCTCAAAGCGATGTCAATGTTGAGAATGCCGATACATCTGGCTTCGTGGATCTACCAGTCACGGTCAATCCGACTCTTGACATACTTGGTGCGACCATACTTGCGCGCCTATCTTCGATGGCAGGGGACGTGATCTACAGACACGATCCCCGTCAGTGCGCAGTCGGATAGCACCCAGTTTGCCGTAAAGGTAGCGCCGGGTGAATACAAAGTCGAAGTCACAGGTTTTGTGAAGAACTTCACCGTCTATGCTATACACGCCCCTGACACTTTAACTGTTGCCAAGAATGGCAGCACGAAACTGGAGCTGACGACCCAGCGTGGAGCAAACCTCAACGTGCACGGATTCCCAAACTTCCTGAGCTTCGGTAGCCTTAGTGACTTGGTAGATCTGGAAGAAGGTGATTTTGTGAAAGCTCACGCATCCTCGCTTTTCAAGTATGCTGGAAATGATGGAGCTGGAGATCCGGGAATATACTTGTCCGACGACCCCGCCACTACCAAGACTGTCGAGCTCGCAGCTAGCGTGGAAAAAACGCTTGGTGGTGACCATTCAGTGCTTCCGGTCTTGATCTCGTATACGGTCAACTTGTCGCTGGGCGATACTCTCACTCAGCTACAGAACAAAGTGGGGCTTGCGCATAGTTTTGGGAACTTGATCTTGTCGTTAACACTGGCGAAGGAGAATGGCAAGGAATCTGTGCCTGCAGGATATATCGTCAATCCGGATTTTCTTGGCGAGTGTCAGAAAGGACCGGAAGGTCACGCACTCTCGCCCGACTACGCAATGCCAGTGCACGAGCCGCTGAGAGAGGCGCTCAACTACCGAAAGCTCGACGCGAAGGTTCCCGACAACATTACAGACACTCTTAAAGGCTATGTGGCTGCAGTCAACTGGCTCATACGGACCGTTGCTGAAAAAGCGACATTCGGGTGGCAAGTCAACGTCTGGGGCGTCGGTAACTCGTCGTGGATTTACTCCAAAGAGTCAGACAAGGAGGGCCCAGCAGAGATGGCCAAGAGAACAGCCGATTACATCAAGAGTCTCGATACATATAATGGCGCATATCGTCCCGATTTCCTAGCCATCGACCGTTATGAAGCCGACGACTTCACCGAACGGGCTTATGTTAACAGCTACTGCTATGGCCCGTACGAGTGGGGCAGATTCTTCGACTTCTGCAGCGCTCTGAGCCTGGAGCTACAGGTGCCAGTGATGCCCTGGCAGGTTCCGGCAAGCCGAATCCCTAATCGTACTGAGTCTGTGGTTAACCTCGAACTTGAGCATTGGGGAAGCGGTGGCACTTATCTCTTTGGGGACACTACCATCAACACCGACTATCACAACATCCATCCGACAATTCTGGCAATTAAGCCCACCGGACAAGTCCCTCATGGTAATGTAGAAGGAATCTTTGCAGCCGGGGAGCCATTCAATCTGAGTGACCCTGCCTATACGGACTTCGCAACGCGTGGTATCTTTACGGTGCTACTCGGGGGAGGAGCTACGACTGGTATCGTATCGACAATTGGTAAGACGTCGTCGTGGACGCAGGAGAAAGTGAGCAAGTACATGGAGGACCCGATCCCGTTCAACTGAGCTTCTTGACCGTTGATATAACTAGTGTAGCGGGAAGTAATTGATGAAGGCTTAGTAAACAGTATTTTCAGCATATAAAATGCATCAGGATTGCATATTGTGAGCAGGCTCTTTAAGCAGCGCACGTGAATCAGGGACGCAGCAGAGCGGGACACTTCGATGAGGAAGTACAGTGGATCTGAGGCCAAGTCTTAGTGAGACGAGTGGAATTAGAGAGTAATACGACGACCAATCAAAGAAAGTTGATTCGAATGATATCAAGTGACTTATATATGGAAGCTGGTATAGTGAACTTTCAAAACTTCCGCTTTCTGTGACAGACAGTTGCCACTTACAAGTAAAGCTACAGAGAGAGGATGAGACATCTGGTTTTGAAAAGAATATACTGGAAGTGACCAGGAAGAGCCGATTAAAGGCGGGTTCACTTGAAAAATTGTAGGATTTGCATTTCGTCAGCATCCACCGTTTTGTCTGCTGCCACCTTAATGTAGTAGCACTTTAGTATTACCATAAGTTTAGCATTCAAAGAAGTTGACCCCAAATAGAGTAAACTGAATAGCGTGGATATCGATAACCTGGACAAAAGGTGCAGCCTGCAACAAGTTGTGAGGAATACTCTATATAACACTTCCACTTAGCAACACTATTGCACAAGGGCAGATTTCAAAGGCTGATTAGTAAGAACAATATAGTCGTACTTGAGAATAAAGCGTTCTTTAAGAGATATGTCTTCCAAATCCTGCTAAATCAGCTGACTATTCCCGGAACATAGATTGGAACTCCCCTGTCATCTTATTATTCACCTTTAGCAACGCAAGTGAATAGCTAGTATTGCTAAGAAGTGAGTCATAGCCTAGAAGATTCCCCTTATCTTTGTTTGGTTTCGCTTCAGCCAGCCTTGCGTGGGCATAAAACCTGTTCCTCTTCCCGATCTTCGAACTTCTCCACAACACAACCAAACCCACACAACCAAATCCACACCACAAATTCAAACCCTCAAATCCCAAGGTAAGATACACTCACTACTCTTCTTCAATCGTCCCGGCATTTGTCTTTGCAATCGGCACTCGAGATCCTAGCTCGTCGTGGCTTTGCGGTCAGTGCGGACGCACAAGTCCGGTCACTTTCACAGACCCAGTGCGCTGAGGTTGAGATACACTCCATTCCCTTCCTCGAGCACATCCGGGACTCTCTTTTCTCTGAACGGCGCCTTGCCTTCAAGTTTCCATGAGATCGAAGTCGGCGCAAATTTTCAATTCACTGCTGCTGAGATCGGAAAGAACTCCATTTCTCCTCTCAAGGGGAAGCAAACTTGTAACTGCACCTTGCGTACGATCTTAGGATCAAGATGCATGCATATGGTCACTTGGCCTCATGCCATGAATTATACTGGGGTCATGCTTGTTCCTTTTTTAAAAAAACAAATTGACGCAGTAGCTGATTTCAAGCTTGCTAGACCTTTTTCTTGCAAAAAAAACCCCCAACTTGACGATGTCAACCGCACCTGCACGTTGGACCGACGGCGAGAAGGTAAGTCTCCAATATCAAAGACTTGAAACATTATCCTGATATGGAATACCTAGTATTCTTTCTTGCTCCAAGCCTTGAAACAGTTCGGTGGAGATCGAGCCCCGGACTATAAGAAAATCAACCTTACAGGTCGCACTGAACGAGCCATGGGCCACCAGTGGGCTGCTATCAAGAAGGAGATGTCGACAATTGGAGAGGACGGTGGCTTTGCCGAAGGTTCAGGCCCAAAGACTCCCAGTAAGCGCGGAGCTGGCAAGAAGAGTAAGTGCTAATGCATCTACTCATTTGATAATGCATTTATCATAAATTGTAGTTGATGGAGAGACCCCCGGAAAGAAACCCAAGGTTGTAAAGAAGAAGGCCCCGGTCGTGGAGGAGGATGAAGAGCAGGCGGAGGATGCGTCTTCTTGAGAGGTTGATTTGTACTTCTTTGTCGTAAGTGAACTCTAACTATAACCCCTAATTGAACTGACAGGCTGGTGCTTGATAGACACGACGAGATCTGCTGAACTATGTGCGGACTCGAATACTTCAAAGTGCGGCTTAGACAGGTTAATTTCACGATCAGAGGTTTCTTTAGGTGTTTTAAGGCGAACATGGCATGATGGTATACAACTGGAGTGGTCGTGATTCAGAGCAGAGCAGAGGCAGAGGTGTATTTAGCGCTTTCGGCAGTCTGACCAATCAATAGGTTCACACCCCCCAGGTTGCACTTGCCTTGCATCAACTTTACAGGCGCTTTGACCGCTGTGAAATCCCTGCGTTGCTAAAACTATTGCTCCTCGTCCTGTGCAGCACCGTGGCTGTGATCGTGAGAAACATCCATCCTTCTCTCCCGTCACGAATTGTACCACCACCACTCTGTCTATATCCTCACTTTCCTTCCTCCCTCCCTCCCTCCCTTCCTTCCTTCCTTCCTTACGCTCCTTCTCCCCCGGCCTCCGGTCTGCCTAGCTGAGGAGGCGCATCTGCTTCGATTCTGTATGCTGGATGAATAGAGCTTTCTATGCGCGCCTGGGACACCACTCGTTGACGTGCTTCTCTCAGACTGCCGCAAGTAAATCATCTTTAAACCTTGCATTCACAGCAAGAAGCTTGCTCTACAAGTCCGCATTCACAGGTTTGCCATTCGCTTGCCTTCGACCAACGTCAGCCTTACGAGCTTTCAATACTGCCTCCTGTACCAACTTCCAGAACTTCACCATGAACGGATCGAATGGAATACCCCGCACAAAACGGAAACAACATCCGGGCGAGGTGGAAGAGCGGCCGCAAAAGCAATACCGTGGACTGAATGGCAAGGAATCCGCGGGAGAGAACACGCCTGAGGTGGCCTCTTCCGAGGAAGACCTTGAGATGGAGATAGAGGAGCCTAGAATACTGGCCGCTATGGCAGACACCGCAGAATGGCAAGAAACTATTGAGAATGTTGTCCGGAATGTGGTCTCCATCAGATTCTGTCAAACCTGTTCCTTCGACACCGACGCAGCCTTGACCAGCGAGGCAACCGGTTTTGTCGTGGATGCAGAGCGAGGGTAAGCAATACCCCCTTTCCCTCTTCAGTACGTACAACACTGACAACTGTATAGTTACATTATGACAAACCGACACGTGGTGGGATCGGGTCCGTTCTGGGGATACTGCATATTCGATAACCACGAAGAGGTTGACGCATACCCCGTGTACCGAGACCCTGTGCACGATTTCGGCATCCTTCGTTTCGATCCTAAAGCTATCAAGTATATGCCAGTTGCAGCTCTACCTTTACGACCAGACCTCGCGAAAGTTGGCTCGGAAATCAGAGTTGTAGGTAATGATGCTGGGGAAAAACTTAGTATTCTTTCTGGAGTGATCAGTAGACTCGACAGAAATGCACCGGAATACGGAGACGGTTACTGCGATTTCAACACGAATTATATACAAGCTGCTGCAGCTGCGAGTGGTGGAAGTTCTGGCAGTCCGGTGGTCAATATTGATGGATATGCTGTGGCTCTGCAGGCTGGTGGCAGGAGTGATGGTGCAGCTACAGATTATTTTCTTCCCCTCGATCGTCCTTTACGAGCTTTAAAATGCATACAAGACAGCAAACCGGTTACTCGCGGAACCATACAATGCCAATGGATGATCAAGCCATTCGACGAATGCCGGAGACTAGGGCTAACTCCTGAATGGGAGAGTGCTATCCGAAAGAACTTCCCCAAGGAGACGGGCATGCTGGTAGCAGAAATTGTTCTACCGGATGGCCCATCAGACAATAAAATTGAGGAGGGAGATGTTCTCATCAAGGTCAATGGGGAACTGTTAACTCAGTTTGTCCGACTCGATGACATCCTTGACTCGAGCGTGGATGGCAAGGTCACTCTTCTCTTACAGCGTGGCGGGGAAGACATGGAGGTGGAAGTCAAGGTTGGAGATTTGCACGCCATCACCCCAGATCGTTTCGTATCCGTTGCAGGAGCAAGCTTCCACAATCTATCATACCAGCAAGCTCGGCTATATGCCGTAGCATGTAAGGGTGTATTTGTCTGCGAAGCAACTGGATCTTTCAGGTTTGAGAGCACAGATAATGGCTGGATTATCCAAACAGTGGATCACAAGCCGACTCCTGATCTAGATGCATTTATCGAAGTTGCTAAAGACATCCCAGATCGAGCCCGAGTGGTCGTCACATATAAGCATCTTCGAGACCTACACACTTTAAATACCGGCATTATTCACATTGACCGTCATTGGTCAAGTAAGATGAGACTGGCTGTCAGGAACGACATAAGTGGGCTTTGGGACTTCACGGATCTAGCTGATGCCCTCCCTGCCGTTGCTCCTGTTCGGAGATCTGCTAGCTTCATCCAACTTGAAAATGCGCAACATCCCGCTGCAGCAGACATTGTACGCAGTTTTGTTCGTGTTTTATGTCATATGCCAGTAAAATTGGATGGCTTCCCTCGGAATCGGAAATGGGGAATGGGTGTTGTTATTGATGCAGAGAAGGGATTGGTTGTTATCTCGAGAGCAATAGTCCCCTATGATCTCTGTGACATCTCTATTACCATTGCAGACTCAATTATCGTGGAAGGAAAAGTTGTCTTCCTCCATCCTCTACAAAACTACGCCATCATCCAATACGATCCATCCCTCGTTGATGCTCCTGTACAAAGTGCCAAGTTGAGCACTAAACACATCACCCAAGGAGCATCCACCTACTTCGTCGGCTTCAACCAAAACATGCGCGTAGTCAGCGCCCAAACAACAGTCACAGACATCACCGCCGTCGCAATTCCAGCCAACTCTGGCGCCCCTAGATACCGAGCTGTCAACGTCGACGCCATCACGGTCGACACAAGTCTATCCGGCCAATGTGGAAGCGGTGTCCTCGTCGCAGAAGACGGTACTGTCCAAGCCCTCTGGCTAACCTACCTCGGCGAGCGCTCCCCCGTCACCTCAAAAGACACCGACTATCACCTCGGCCTCGCAACCCCGTCGCTCCTCCCCGTCATCACCAAAATCCAGCGGGGCGAACAGCCAAAACTGCGTATGCTGAGTGTAGAATTCAACGCTATACAGATGAGTCAGGCGCGCATCATGGGCGTGAGCGAAGAATGGATCAAGAAAGTAGCCCTGGACAACTCATCCCGGCATCAACTATTCATGATTCGCAAACGCACCTTTGAGCGTGGTGACCAGTCTGCGGCGCTCATGGAAGGCGATGTGATTCTCAGCCTCAATGGCAAAATTATTACGCGCGTAAATGAGCTAGATGTAATGTACGACCACGAAGTCCTCGATGCGGTCATCGTGCGCGATACTGTGGAAATGGCCATCAAACTGCCTACCGTCTCAGCTGATGATCTGGAGACTGATCGCGCAGTGAGCTTCTGTGGTGCAATTTTGCATCGCCCGCATCATGCTGTTCGGCAGCAAATCAGTAAGCTGCATAGTGAGGTGTATGTGTCGGCGCGCACAAGGGGAAGTCCGGCGTATCAGTATGGGCTTGCGCCAACGAATTTCATTACGCATGTCAACGGAAAGAAAACCCCCGACCTTGAGACTTTCTTAAAGGCTGTAGTGGATATTCCTGATAATACTTGTAAGCTTTCCTCTTTCCCTTTCTATTACTATTTCTGTTTGGACATGGTACCCACCTCTTGAAACCAGCTCACTAACACTAAAACCATCCAGATTTCCGCCTCAAAGCTATGACGTTCGACAACGTGCCCTGGGTAATCACTATGAAGAAGAACGACCATTACTTCCCGTGCATGGAATGGATCAAAGACCCTTCTGAATCTTCTGGCTGGCGACGCGTCACATATGAGCAAGGCAAGAAGATCGAGGGGGAAGGACATGATGGGATCAATGTTGTTGCGGGGGGTGGTGATACGTTTGAGATGGATGATGTTGGGGGCTTAGAGGTGGGCAGGCAGGAGTAAGCTCTGCGATGAGTTTACTATAGGACGATATGAATGAACCCTTTAGGGGAAGGGGCGGCTGGGGAGATAGATGGTGTAGGGTGGGGTGGAGTAGAACTGGGTTGAGGGAATAGAATGTGCGAGTATAGTACTTTGTAACTTAATTACATTACATCACAACACAATAGAACAGACAGTATCTGGGTTTGATACCAGAGGAAGGAATCAGAACATACCAACCACCAGTACGGTTCATTCCCACTTTATTAAGCGCTAAAATACATCTCTTCGTGACATTCAGATTGCGTTCCTGTCCCTTTCCTCAACTAATTATCCATACATTATAACCAAGCCACCCACCCTTTCCCACAACCACAACTTCAATGCTCCCCTCGATCACGAAAGAGAGGTATGATCTATCTATCCATCTATCCATCAAGATCAGATTCTATGCTAGGCTTCAGAAGGGTGTGTGCACGGGCATATATACATGTATCTATCGAGTGCATCGAATTCATCAGATCCCTTCATTCATTCATTCATTCATTCGTAGGATGTGAAGAAGCTCTTTTAAAGATTTTTATTTCATGAATGAATGAATGAATGAACAATGCCTACCGGCAATTTATGTTTATGTTTATGTGTGTGAGAGAGACGTCCGTCGCATCCTCTAGTCCTTGCAAGCAAGCAAGTAAACCTAGATTAGGCTTGCTTGTTCCTTGACCATAAGAGTAGGTGGGTGAGAGGGTAAGATGGGGAGTGAGTGTTCTTAGGAGGTTGGAAAACAGGTAAGATACGTAAGCGCTCTCGCGGCGATGTTTTTATAGAAATACTATTGAAGGAGAAGAAGGTAGATCGATGAGGGGGGTGATTAAAGAAAATGAAAGCTCATATATGATGCCTTTTCACTTACTTTGCGCATGTAATTTCTTGAAAGGGTTGGTTGGGGAGAAGAATAGAACGTCAATCACAGTTTACCAAATCCAACAAGCTGAAGAACTTTTGCAAACAACTTTTTCTCCAGCAAATGATTAACGCCTGAGTATTAGCTAACTAGACCAACCTAGCCCAGCCAAATGCTATGTGAAGATACGTAAAGCTCGCTAGCTGTTTCTTTCTTTCGCCCCCAAAGTTGAGGCAGGAGGCCAAACAAATAGGTATCGTAACGCGTCGTCATGTCATCTCAGTGCGTTCATCTCTCTCCCATATAGCATGGGCTCAAAACGAGCCGACAGAGTCGCTCGCTGTTACCCGGGACCCGGAAATATAACCTCATCTCGTTGAATGACCGGCCACCCGACATATGGCTTCTAAAGACGACCGAAAATAACGTCCTTCTCAAATATCCTCACGCCACTTATCTCGTAGAAGCGAATATCCTCCACCGTCTCGACCTTCAGGCCCGACTCCCCAACCATCATAGCTTCATCCTCGTCCGAACTAGCCTGCCAATCAGGCATTGTCGAAGGATCCGCCCAGCCGTTAGCGCCATATAACGCTTCAGCAATAACATCACTTTCCTTGCCCTTGCCCTTTTTATCTTTCTTTGTATTCTTGTTAACCCGCGGGCGGCGGACAAGTCGATCAATAGCTTCGTTGAGACCGATATATTCGAGCTTCATGTGCGGAGTGTGCGCCACGACGTCAACCATCATTTGCTTGAATTCGTGCATCATTGAGGTGCATGGGTCCTCGTATCGGAATTGATTGACGTGAAGGGCGCGGAGGGAGGTCATGCCGGTCATAAATTGAAGGAAGCAGTGCTATTGACTGTTAGCTGAGGTACGATGAATACAGAGGGCAACATACTAAAGTTCTGACGCCGTGACTAACGGACAGCTCCTCGAGCTGTGTCGCACGATGGCACAACAACATCGTGGTCTTGACGTCTAAATCCCAGTCTTGGTTTGAGTCGTTTTTTATCATCAAGACTTTGAGGGTACTGGCATGTTTCCTCAAGACTTCCTTTCGGATCTTCTCGATCTTCACAGTCGTCTTCGCTGCTGTAGGTTCAACACGCCCCTTCTGCTTCTCTAATAGTAGTAACTCCGTCACCATGTCCAGTTCGCCAACGAATTGTAAGAACTGCGGGGTTACGTTGTCGGTGTATATTTTGGATAACGGCAACGACTGAAGTGTATTCTCCTTGCGAAGCGTATTCCAGATGCCAACTTGGGTACCGACGTTCAAAAGTGTCAAGCTTTGTAGCATGTGGAAGTCAATTGCAGCATTCAATACCGTAGATCTGGTGGGAATCAAGTAGATAGCAAGAGTTTGTAGAGTAAGTCCTCTGGTGGAGCGAACGTACTCGCTCCTTCTAGCATTTTCATGTCCTGGAATCTTCAAAGCCATGGCTTGAGCGTCTGCTGAGACATCATTAATTGTGTCGTTTACCGCTTGCATCTCACGAGCCAGCTCGCTCACTTGATCTGTGACCACCATGAAATCTGCCTTTGCCTGTCTCAAGACCTCGAACTGTGCAGGCGTAGGATCTGTGACTTGCAGTTTCTCTTGCATGTCTAGCATCCGTTGCTTGAGCATCATTTCGGTTTGTTGATTTTTGCTATGAGTGGCGATAAGTGCACTTAGCTGTTCATGGATCTCCAGCCGGTTCACCAGATCCACGGTATCTGCAGAATTCTTTTCTTCTTGGGCATCTACAACCTTGGTTGTTTCAGCATCGCCCGATTCGCTCGAGGCCGTTTCTTCTAGACTCTCGTCTGAAGGAACAATATCCGTTGATGGATCTTCAATTTCAATTGCAAGTTCCTTTTCCTCCGGCTCTTCCATATCGATGTCATCAGGGTTTGCAACTTCTGGATCAACATAGGGGGTATGCTTTTCGTTTGGGTCGTGATCATCGAACAGACCTGGTCCATCATCCGCCACCCCACCGCCACTCATAACAACGTTAACCTCAGACGTGCTGTCTGCACTCGTGGTTGAAGGGGTGCCCTTGGAGCTGTTTCCATCGCTCGATGCCTTTTCTCTGGCCTTATCTACTTCATCGAAATACATCTTTGCTGCTTTCTTGATCAGGTCTACGGCTTGCTTTGCTGCCGGCGTAGCTTCGCTACCAGGCTTGACATCCGACATGAGCTTTTGCGCGATTGTACCATAGTTTCGCAGAAACCTGAGTTTGGGATCCTCGTCCGTCTTTGGCTTTGGTCGGTGAAGATCAGTAGACTCTGACTTGCCTGGTTTCGATTTCTTGCCAGTCTGTAGCCCAAATATTATATTTAAAACGTCTTCTTGTTTCTTCTTTTCCTCTGCTGCTTGTACAGATTTCGATGGAGAACTCAGGCCAGAGCTAGACGGTGTCATGCCTGGTGGAGGACCTGGAGGCGGAATTAATGCGCCAAATTCATCCTCCACTTCCGAGTCGTCATCAGAATGAACCTCTGGTGGCGGTTTTCGAGATTTACTAGCCAATGCTTCCGAGAATGATAATGTAAGACTAGTGAGCGTCGAAGAACAGTTGCTAATGCAAGTCTGCAGTTCTCCTACATAATCTAATGTATCCATGTCCAACACTGACAACGTTCTCAGATGATTGAATCCTGACAGCGTAGATGCCTCCTTATTGATTGTCGGAAGTACAATCTTGGTAGTTTTGCGTTGGAGCTTAGCAGCATATTTATAAGCCGAAGGGAAGGAATTCGGATTCGAAGGATACGTAACGGACAGCGGAGGGGCATTGTGGGAAGATGGTTGAGCAAAACCGGGCGGCGCACCCATAACATTAGATAATGGAAGTATAACAACTGGAGGCGCTTCCGAATAATGAAAGACGCTCGATGGTGCTGTCAATCCGTATAAAGAGTGACCAGCTTGCATTCGAACATGAAGATGCTGCAGGGTGTGAATCCGATGTAAGGCCTTGAAAACAGACGGGCTGAGCTCTACGCGGATATCCCATCTGCAAGTTTTGTCAGTACATAGCTACTTTTTATAGGACGGGCACCAACTTGAATGTTTCCAGCACCCTAGCCTTGCGCAGAGCCAGAAGGAATAGTGTATTCATGAATTTTCCGCAGCTCGAATCGTACATATAATACCGATATGCGCGCTCCCCTTTGTCCCCGCCATTTGTTGGCTCCAACACAATGTCTTTAAGGTATTTCGCATAGTCATAATTGCTCGAAACGAGGGTCTCCAGTCCACCAGCCAGGGCATCTACAGAGGTATTTGTGCCATCGTCGGGTTCGTCAGGAAAGGTAACTTCGAACTTGCGATACAATTGTTCTGCAGCAAGATCCCGAAAATGCTTTGAGACAAGACAGAGAGCTAGGAGGTCGTCCGTAGAAGACTATATTACGGGACAGTTAGCTTTCGTTCGAGCTACACTTGGTATGCGCCCGGCAGGATACCACCGTTTCCGCGCATAACAATAGTACTTACGTGCTTGATAATGTGTCTTTGTGCCTCCGCAGGCAGATCCAGAAATGTCAAGTTCTTCTTGGAGCCTTGTGTAGGCTCGGATTGGAATGTTGGTGCAGCCATTCCATCTGCGGTAGCCTTGTTGGTAGAATAATCACTGTTACTGCTACTGCTACTGCTGGAATTCAAGCTCATCGGCTCGAGACCCATGACATTGAGAGTACGTTGCCAAACATTGTTTCTATCAGGTTTCTTGATGGGTGTCACTCCCTTTCGTCTTGTCTTGTTGTTTGGTAGGGCGGGCATGTTGAGCAGCAGCTTCAAGGCGGAGCCGGCTGCGTTGATATTGACGGGCTGGGCTGGATCGCGTGGGGGGCGGGAACCACATCCGTTGGCGGGGGTGAGTCGGAGTACGGTAGGGGTGAAGCACTACAGTATAGTATAGTGCGTAGTCAGCACTGCACTGACCGGGTGTAATATCAACGTTGCGGGTGCACCAGGTGAACGTTCTGCGCGTGCTGATATGCGATTATCCTCGAGAGAGTTGCGATGGAAGCTGCGTGTGTGTAGTTGAAGAAAAGAAAGAAGGGCAGGAAACCAAAAGAAGAGCAGCAGAGCGAACCTGTCCCTACCTAAGTACAGGTACAGTGCAGTGCCAGCCAGGTTGTCGCCTAACTGTGGAGAAAGGGTCGGTGTGAAAAGGCAGCCGTGAGGCTGAAGACAGGCCAACGAAGTGCGGACGAAAGCCTCGTGCAATCAATAGGGTAGCGGTGGTAGCTACAAAAGGTAAGTTCTAGAGACAGGAGAGAAAGATGGTCCCATACAATTGCACTCAAAGTTGAAGGATAATCTTGGCAGAGTCGTGTTTTTCAATTTGAACGTTGTGTCTAGGTGCCTTTACTTACCCTGTTACATCCTCATAAGTCTTTGGGTAAGGGCTAATAGAATCTATGGTGCAGGCTTTGGGGAATTAAACTTTGCAGTCAGGGTTTGGAGAGAAACAGCAACCACCCAGAGCTCTACGTTCTGTCACGAAACATGGAACATTTTCTTACAATCAATTTGATTTCATTGCAAAGAGCTGTCCGTGTGTGCAGGCCCTGTTTCGTCGACCCACTCCTTCCTTTCCAAATGTTATGCCACACATTCTACTCTGATGCTCCAGCAACCGGCCATAAGTTCATGCCTGTCGTCCTTCCAGTTCCATAATATCTCACTTCACACGTTTCCACCACCCCTGCCATTAACTCCTTTCATCTTCGCTGCTGCTGCCAACGCCTTCTTGCCCTGCCCCTTCGGCGCCCTCTTCTTCACCTCATCCCTAGCTTTGCACAGCTCCTTATTTAACATGTCCTTAAACTCCTTAATGATCTCTTCTGGGAATTCAGAAGCGCAATCGCTATCCAGTTTGATGACCACTTCTTTGCAGCCCCGTACTTTCTTCAGCTGTTTTATGCCGTCCATGTTGTGCAGTCCCTGGCCGTGTTTGAGGAGCTTGAAGATTGACCATTCAAGTGATATCTGCAATATCTCAAGCCTCAGACAGTCCCCTAGGAGTTTACATCCTTTGTTTAGCGCCTTTCCGCCGTATGTAAACTCGATTCTTCTTAGAAGTTGTCGTCTTTCTTTACTGAGATCCCCCAAGCTTTTGCCCATTTCGTCGTTTGAGAAGAAATAGAACATATTCATGCCAAAGTAGATCGGGAGGCTTTCGTCGTGGACCTGCTTGCACGTGCGTGCAATTGCCAGCGTCTTCTCGGCATTCTGCGCTTCTAAACCTCGCCCATTCTCAAAGAGCTTTATTCGCGAGGTATATTCGTGCGGGTACAAGGGTTCTTTTGACGTCTTGGAGACGAGCAGATACTTGTAGATCATGTTGCGAATCTCGGGTGGCAGGATCAGGAAGGAAGCCTTCGGAGTTGAGGGGATCGCTGCTGCAAGCTTTTAGCCTCTGCTCGATACAATCCCACGAGGGGAAACAGCACTCAAATCAAGTGCCCTTAAGCTGAGAGATTGAAGACAGCTGTGTTCTGAAGCTGCTAGATCAATAACCGTCGCGCATGTCCTTCAAAAGCTCCGGAACATTCTACCAGATATGGAGTATTGGAATGAATGGGATACTGCACTTACTGGAGGCCTTGCTGTTCATTTTGTGATGATGCTGTGTTTCTCGTGTTGTTCGCGGGTTGGTGAAGTTGAAGGAAAGATGCCGCGGACGGAGCGGAGAGACCTTTGTATACTGGTAGCGGCTTCCTGACTGAAAAGAATTGAATGTGAACTCTACCCCTGCTCCCTTATTTTCATCCTTACAGTTATGGAATGAATTCTAGTTTGTTGGAAAGGTATTCAACAATCACGTGTTTAGTTACTCGTGTAGAAGCTCTGCGCTGAGCCTGGAAACTCAATGTCTGTTTGAAGTTGGGCATAATGCGAAAGCCTATTAGTTGTCTAACACTCTTTGCCAATTTTCAATAGCCATAATAGTATTCTACCCCCTTATCATTCTCTGGCAAGGTCTTTTAGTTGTGCGGAGCAGGAGGCCGCAAACCCTCCTTCCACCTCTCAATCATCCCAGCCTTCTCCTACTTCTGCTCTCCAGCATCCTGCTCAATATGATCATCTTCCGATACTTTTTCCCTGCATAATTCCTCTTTCAACACAATCTCAAGCTCTTCCACCTGGGTCTTTGTATATCCATACCTTCCCTCGTCCACACCAGATGAATTTACACCACAGACCCTGACATCTGCACATCCTCTGATTTGTCTCAGCCTCTTGATTCCAGCACAGCCCAGAATCTTCGAATGGCTTCGTCGAGAAATATTGTACCCGAAGAGGGCCGGACCGAGTATAACTCGAACTGTCAATTTGCGAAGCGCCTTACATTCACCCAATAGTCTCGTCGCCTGGTTCGAAATCTTCTTGTCGCCTTGGTCCTCGTACAAGCGGAATTCAACGTCCTTGATGAACTGTCGTCCACCAGGACCCATATCATTTAGAATATGGTACACTGAAAAAAGCGACAAGTTAGAAAAGCTACCCATAATGGAAGCATACGTACTGCAGTTCATGTTGTCAAAGCCGAATAGGTTGCAGCTAAAGTAGATGAGCCTTGCATCAGCGTAGAGCTGTTTGCAAGTACGCACGACAGCTAGGGTATTGGATCGAGGCTTGCGCGCTGAGTACGGACCGCTGCCCGTGCCCCATACTAAGCGCTTAGGAAATACCAAAAGGTATTTGAAGATCATGTCTCGCAACTCGGTGGGGATTGTGACCAGGTAGCAGTTTCCGGCTGCAGGTGGACGCTCTGCTGGGTGAGAAACCCTGCGAATTGCTGGACGGTGTCCTTTACGCATCGCTGGGTGAGAGCCCTTGATGGACCGAAATGAAAAGGCTCTTGTGGTGATCCTTCCGCTGGATGGTTGTAAAAGCTAGTTCCAGAGTATGTAGGGTGGGTGATGATTCTGCAGAAAGGATGTCAAAGGGTTGTTGTTGGAAATAATGCATGTCTCAGCGGATGACTTTTTATATTTACATTTCGGATGACCAAGCCGCCTGCCTACTACTATGTTCAGGTAAATCAGCCCATGTACCCTCATAAATGGATTCAATTTCGATACGTTCATCCACATGGTTACTTGGATAAAGTGCATCTAATCCCTTTTCCCCACCACAATCTCTTTCACAACTTCAACAACCTCCTTCTCCCTACACAGCTCATCCCTCAAAATCCTCTCAAAATTCTTAACATCCTCCTCCGTGAATTTATTCTCATTATTCTGCTTCACAGCCATGTCCCCTTGGCACACATTAACCTCTTCAACACCCCTAATCACCCTCAACTTCTTAACGCCCGCCGCCCCCATCGGATTATGACTGAAAAGCGTCAAAACGGAATCGTATTCCAGAATGACCGTCAGCTTCTTTAGATTGTGGCATTGTGTGAGTAGTGTGGTGGCTTTGTTCGATATCCTTCTGTCGTATGTGAGTTCCCGCAAAATGAATGTGAGGTTTTTGATCTGTTGGCGACGGCCGGGTCCTAGGCCTTTAAGAACCTTGAATACTATGATTTCGTCAGTAATATCTCCCTTGCTCAGTTGAATGAGGTAAAGTACGGGTATTGGTACTGTCAAACGTGAAAGTGTTGCTACTGTAATAGATGGCAACAACTTCGAAGTATAGTTGCTTGCAGACGCGCGTCAGCACCACTAGATTCCTGGTCCAAGAAGATACGGGCTCTTTGGGGCGTGGTCCCACTATGGCAAGTATTTGGGCATAAGACAGCTGCTCCAGCCATTTCTGAGGGAAGTTGATGGCTTCGGGTTGGATAAGGAGGTATTTGAGAATCGTGTCTCTGACTTTCTGGTGGAAATGTAAGGAGCTGGGACTTGGGATGTGGTTCAGGTGAGGGGATAGCCGTAGCTTCCTCCTGAGAGCTGAGCTTTGATGCTCTCGAAGAAGCCATTGCGTTGGTGGATGTTTGGTTGAAGGTGTAGTCGAATGAACGATCTTGGGTTTCGGAATGGTGAAGATTCTTCTGAACTTGACACGACGGAACATTTGATATTGAATTGGAGCACATTCAACATTGAAAAATATAACGATAGATGCTTTAAACCTATTATGGCGCGGATTGGAACGAATAGTGGCTCGATGAACTAGAAGTAGAAAAAGGTTACTCTCAAGGCGCTCCGGCCTAGGTAGAGATGAGATGATATTCCAATAGACCTATCTACGTTTTATCATCTGCCACTCCAAATGCCTTTTAATAGTTTTTTCCCTCTGCTTATCCTTCTCTGCTTGTCTTCTAGCTTGAGTTTCCTCACTTAGAGAATCTCTTGACCGCCGCTCTTTGCAAACAGTTTCACTTAGAATCCGTTCGAGCTTCCCCGCAAAAGCCTTCTCCTCCTTCTGAAGTCCTAATTGGAAACTAAGATTGTCATTCCTAGTTAGAATAGAGGGAATAATCAACTCTCGAGGTTGCAATATAAGTTCCTTTATACCTCTCAGTTCCAGCAGTATAAAGACCATTCTCGTTGATATATCGTCCCACGAAGGGCTTGGCGTTAGCGAAAGCACTATTTTCCCCATTTTGATCTCAAGCTTCTCCAAGCTCAAACACTGGTACATCAACTTTGTTGCTTTTTTAATCCCATGAGCCATCTCAGTGAGGGAAGTACTAATGTTCTTGATAAAATTGCGTCTGCCTTGACCAATGTCTTGGAGGAATTTTCCCACTATGAGAATTGATTAGCACGAGCGCATTGATTTCTCCATTGCAATATAGCATTCCAAATAAGCCACCAGATACTAGGACTTGTGCTACTACGTCGCAGCCAGAACTTCTGGGTTGCGATGCAATTTGACCTGGGACGCTTGTCTCCTTTGCGGCACAGGGCTCTCAACGATTCAGATTTGTTCAACTTAAATCGAGACAGTCTATCAAAAGGGTCAACTTACAAGTAAGCATATTAGGAAATTCAAACTTGTTACGGGAGTAGTAAATAGGCAACACTTCAACAAATAGCTGCCGACACGTTCGTGTGAGTGCAAGGACTTTTTCGGGGTTCCTCAAGCGGCCCTATGAGCAAACATCAGTCAGTATTGCTTAAAATGACAGAATTTAGGAGTTTTTAGTATTTATGAGCAGTGAAAAGTTTAGATGGCAGATGATTTTTATGACACCTGAGGTACGAAGAAATTCCATTGCCTCCAAGAAGGTAAATTACCTGAAGCCCCTTGGCATTGCATCGAGGATGGATAACGCTCCCCGTGGGAAGGATTTCCAAGATAATCATATAGCGGATCTCAGTAGGGAGGGCAATTAGGTAGCACTTCATATCGTTGGCCTTCGATCTCATACCGTATCTTCGAGTTGGCGATGCCATCCTGCTGGGTGTAGATTTTGGAGACATTTAAACCTATTTTTTCTTTTCCAAAATAATGTGGTGCTGAAAAGGAAAGTCTGGAGAAATGTTTGACTATAGTACCGAGCGTGGGTCGTACTGTAGTGGTTCGTCCTTCTTAGTCTGCACGCGATGCGATATCTAGCTTCTTTAGATTGGCCCTATAATGAAAAACATACCCCATAGGTAGCTTTAAAATGTGTAATAAAGGTGATGTTTCAAGCTAGTACCTTTATTTATAGACTTAAGGCTTAATTATAGTATGTTTAATCTTTTATTCATTAACATGTGATGCACGCCAGCAAACTCGCTTAACCCCTTTTCTCTGCCCAGCCTTAATATCGAGAGTGACTTTGCGCTCAAAATCGAATTACTCTTTAGTTGAAAAGGAGCGGCGGTGCTTGCCTAGAGCAAGTTGGCTTATTTGAATCTATACATATTAATGTTTCGAACACTGCTGCCGTGAAGAGAGAAGGGCTGATTGATAAGGGCAGATTTGGAAAGGCATGTTGGAAATTTGCTCTTAGAAGGGTTCAATGTCAAATTGGTGAAGATAAAAGAGCATGTTTAGAAAAGTTAGCCCACTTAAGCTCGACGCTAGGAACCTCAAAGGCTCATATGGTCTTCCACATCGCTAGGAACTTCTCCATCCGTCTTTCTCTCCTTGCACAAATCCTCCTCCAGCGTGCGCACAAACTCGTTCCACTGTTGGACACTGAAATTTGATACTAAGTTCATATAGGGAGGACATGTTATATTCCTCCTCAAGACTTGGACTTTCTTGCAACCCCTCAGTTCCTTCAATTATCTGATTCCCTCTCCTTCAAATGATGACCAATTCTCCGGCACATGTGATGCATACAGAGAAATATTCTTAAGGCCTGTGCACCAACGTAATAGCTTCATAGGTTGTTTTTCATGTTTCTGGTCCCCTCTCCTCCGAATGTTGAAGTTTGATTTTCTTGATGCAGCGTCTTTGGTAGTTGGAGATGTTATTGAAAACACCCCCCACTGTGGGGTGTTAGCTACGTGCAATTCAATGTTGGGAAAGGGTCCGTACATTTACCAAGTCTCACAAGATACTGCAGCATTGACTAAATAGGACTAGTCTACTCATCAAACTATTACCATGCAAAATCTTCCTAATTTAATGTAACATGTAACACTTTGGCACTATAGCTATCGGCCATTAGTTCGCTTACTCTCTGTCTGACAATTGTCATGGATATGGACCTTATAGTTGCGTTATTGATAATCTGGTTGAAAAACCGACCCAAGACGATGGCAATAGTTCGTCCTCGATCTCGATGCAACTGTAGATTTCTAAATAGCAATGCCCTTCTCGACAATATCCCGAAAGATGCAAGGGTCTCGAATTACAAAAAGATTCTATGTCTGGTTTTCAAAGATTATAGCTTAACTATATCTCGTATTTGCAACATGAGTTTGAGCTGATGAAAGGTTTTGTTAGTAATTATTGACGATTTTGTAAGTTGGACGCACCTAGGTTGGGGTCAGGTCGTTGGGGGCTCTGCGGGAAGTGGGGACGTCTAGCATTTTCACATGTCAAATGCATATACCGGTACTTGTAGACCTGGAATTCCTCAAAAGAATTATGAAGCCAACCCTTGGGAAAGGGAAGATCGTGCCACTCAACTGTGGTTATAATCTGGTTTCACGGGTGCAAATCCGTAGTTGAAGGCGTAATGTTGAGAAGTTGAGATCACATATCTATCTACGCTACCTATGCATCAGTACTCAAACGAGAGCGCCCAAAGTCACCAGAATAGTATATACATGAAATGTCCTCCCTATTGTCCCGGCTCAAATTGTCCCCCTACGCCATCATCCGAAAGTCTTGTTCATGAACTGATGCGCCAATTCGACCCCTAAGAACGTCGCAGCATTTGCAGGTACAGCTCTTGCGATTGCAGGCCCAAATCCAGGGAAGAAAGCTTTGAATCCACCATTTTTATACAAGCCACGAACAATCCCACCAACGGTTGGCTTGCCCTCCATAGTTTGTAGACGACTCTTCACAGTGTCTATTGGGAAAACAGGAATCCACATGGCTACACCAGCCGCAGCACCAGCCGCAGTAACAGCCAAGAGACTCAGATCCCCGCTTGCCTTACCCGTCACTGGATCCACCGGTGTGAGTCTGCGTTTGATATACTCGTAGGCTGCAAAATAGGCTGCGGATCCAGGACCATCTCTTGCCAACGTAGCAACTGAACCCCGGAACACAGAACGAACGCCGCCTTCCTTGTATAATTGCCGGACAACATCCACTCCACCGCTGTATTTCGGCTTCTCACCTGGCGCTAATTGCTTTTGGCCTTGGATTTGTAGAAGCACTTTAACACGCTCGAAAGGTGCCGTGATGAGTGTCATAGGAATTGCGGAGAAGAACCCGGCAGCTGAGACTTGTGCGACGGAAAGCTGGTTATCTTGAACAGTCGAGAAACGGCGAACGAGGCCTTTGCCAACATCATAACCCCAGAATGAGACCGCAACTATTTCAACAATCAGCTCTTCCTTGTGGGCAGAAGAAAGGGCTATTTCTTACACATAGGAGTAACGCCCACCAGGGGCGCACTGACACCAGCATACAAGCCCCTCCTCACTCCATCCCTCGCAATACTCTTCCTCACAACATCGATCGCACTGCTGTAAACACCCCGCTCCGCAGTCTGCAACCGGACCTTGACCAAGTCAAACGGATGTCCAACAACCACAGCGCAGACACCACCGAACCCCCCAGCAGCTAAACTCCTCAGACCTTGCAGAGACTTGGTTTCCGCTTCTTTTAAGTCCTCCTTCAATTCCTCCTTGGATTCGGGGACGTGGGGTAGCTTCTCGGCGATCGCTGGAGGGAGACTGTCGATTTCCTGGTTGATTTTTCCCCCGATGGAAGAAGATGAGGAGGGAGACATGACGAGAGGAGCCGAGGAAATACGCGTAGATTCAAAAGGTAGAGAGAAGATTCGGATGAAAAGAGGCAACGCATGTAATGTGCGCCGCGGCTGAAAGCTACTTGCACCTCGCTTTCTCCGCGCAACCGTGATGCCGAGGTCTCGGAATCTGGGGCAGCTCTTCCGCTCCTCTGTTCCGCACCTCCACCAGCTCCGCCCCGAATCCCTTCAATACCAACTTAGTCAAACTCGAATCGCATGAATACCAAATTGAAGTCATTTCGAACAATGTTGCATTTCATAGTTCGTATTTTGTAGCAAGTAGTTTGCCCATGGGTTCGTAGGACTAAAACCCAAACTAAATCAACAAACGTTGGGCTTTTCGGGACGCATTATCATTAATAGAAATACTATAACCTCGAGGGAAATGCTCATCAAGGATGAACTCTTTTTGACTTGGGATCGTTCCTGTTATTGCCTCTCTGAGTTCTTTTTTCTCCTAGAAAACTAGGGTTTTCCTTGCAAATAGCTCCATTACCATCAGGTACGAATGTACCTACGATCATTAGTAATCTCTGGCATATCCACAATTTAATAACCTGTACAACACACCCGGCGAGACCGGTCAAAAGACAAGGTATTTTAGCCTGACCGTCTTTTGTGTTGAATTACTCGAGTAGTGTAGACACACGGTTTTGAAAAACTCTCTCACCCTTGAGCTTCCCTTCCATTCTGGGAAAGCTTCAACCGACGATCCCCCCATTGCTGGTATGCACGAAGACTCGAGGAATGAGTACAATGTGACAAGAACTACAAACCAAGGTAGGACGCCGCTCTCCCGGTCAAATAAGAATTTCACAGCTCTACCAGCCAGTTGCCCGAATTGGCTTCAAAATCCGGAAAAGGGTTCCACCGTGAAAATTCTGGGGCGTGAACAGAAACACGTCGCCCACCAGCGCATATCATCTGTTGGCAAGTGCATGAACTTACATCCTAATAATCCTACCTATAGCATCCACTTATATAGGCAATTGGCGCCATCGCAATGTACGGTGAGTATGATACCGCTGGTAAGAGAATCTCTGTCTTCCTATCTCAGTCGTATCACTTCTCTGAATCATTTCTCTCCAATTCATCTAAAATATTCAAATGAGCCGCAACTATGGCTCCTGGTCCTCGTGTTTCCTCTCGACCTCCCCTAACAACTCGCATACGAGCCTCTTTTGAAGGCAAACACAGCAAATCCGAAATCACCAGTCCTACGAACACAAATGGATTTGTTACTCAAGATCCCCAGGCGTTTCGAGCCGCCATCGATGAAGCTATCGGCAGTGAAAGCTTTCAGAATGCTATCGCGAACAACCTGGCGCGGATAATCAAGCCTTCCATCAAAGATGCGCTGGACACATTGCAGCCGCTCGTGGAAGCGGTGTATTCGCATGAAGTGCTTCTGCGGAAGACCAACAGGAGTGTGGAGGATCTCCTGGCTCGGATTGATACCGGAGGACAATCGATAAATTCGATAGCCCAGCGTCCAGATAGTCCACGAAGTTCAGGAAGCCCAACAACATCTACTACTCCGCGGGGGCGCAAGTCAAGCGAAGCTTCAAATGGTCAGGACATGGAGCTTTTCAGATTCTCTTTGGAGAAAAACAACAAACGAACAGTCGCGACGCTAGCAGAGCTCTCGAATGCTGTCGCGACGAACAACAAGAAAGTCACAGATGCGGTAAATGGCATTCGAGACATCCAGGCTACATTGGCCCCTACGAAAAATGGCCTTGACTCTCAAAAGTCCTCGGACCACTCGAATACGAATACTGCTGTAATGCAAGCTCAATTGGACCAATTGAAGGCGGACATCGAACATATTATCAATGTCATGGGTTCAGACCTCGGCCAAAATGTAAAGAGCATTCATAAGCAGGTCGGAGCGCATCCTTCCCTCCTGGCATCTCATACCACGAAGCTAGATGCAATATCTACGGATCTTGTAGCTTTGAAGGGACAGGCCGATGTAGCGGAGAAGATACAAAGTGTCTCTGCGGATCTGGATGCTCTGAAAAGTTACATTGAAGGTAACACTACTAAGCAGGATGAGATGTTTAGCGATTTGGAATCACAAGTTGGCGACGTCCTTACTGTAGTCGAAGGACATACTGGGATCTTAACAGAACTCAAGGATGTCAGCCCTGCAATTCTTGAAGCGGTTCAAAGCTCAAACGACTCCCACGCATTCCATGCTATGGCGCTAGGCAAGCTTAAGGAAAGGTCTCTGGCTCCAGAATCTGGTTCTGCGCAGGCTTCTGGCGGCGATTCTAGCTCAGCGGAAGCTTTGGAAGCTCTCAAGGCAGACATAGCCGCTTTGAAGGAGAACATCGAGTCTGGAATCTCGTCGCATAACGAAAATCTGACCGGGATAGATTCAAAGGTCGACAATGTTCTCACTGCCGTCGAAGGACATAAAGGTGCCGATCAAAGCGCGGATATCTTAGCAGCTGTCCAGAAATCCAACGACTCGCATGCCTCTCACTCTGAGGCACTAGAAGGAATTAGGTCTCTCAACGATACTGCTCCTGCTGCTCCGACTTACGACACAAACTTCGCCGCCTTGGAGGCGCAAATTCTCGCCCTGCAAACCACACTCCATTCACACACTGGCGCATTGGACGAGATTAAAGCCGTCAATGCCATATCCAGCGCCGACTTGGTTCCCGAATCTGAAAGCAACAATTTCAGCGACCTGGAGGCTCAAATTGGAACCATCACTAACCTCCTCAATGAAATCAAAGACGATGTCAGTGCCGAGATTTTGACAGCTCTTCATGACATTGGCCAGACTCAAGCCAGCCATTCCACAACCTTGGCAGAAATTAGGGAGGCAGATGTCAGTGATGAGATCTTGACTAGTCTACATGACGCGCACACTGCTCAAACGGCTTCATTGGACGAATTGAAGACAGCAAGGTCTACCGAGCCGACCGCCGAAGCGGGCAAATTGGAAGCTTTGGAGACGCAAATTGGTGCTCTTGTTTCGACATTGGATGAGCACAAGGCCACTCTGGTGGAGATCAAAGATGCGACAAGTGCCTCCAACGACTCCCACGCTTCCCACACTGCTTCTTTAGCCGAGATCAAGTCAAGGCCTGTAGAGATCACGCCTGCTGCAGTGAGCAACCTCGAAGCTCTGGATTCGCAAATCGCTGCCCTATCAACAACACTCGAAGAGCACAAGTCAACTCTCTCCGCTATTCACGAAGCAACGAACGCGTCTAACACCTCACATGCTGCTCACGCAGCTTCGCTCGACGAGATCAAGTCCAGATCTGTAGATGCAACACCGGTTCCGGAAACCGTTGATGCTGGGCCACAAATTGGTATTATCATAGCCACTCTTGAAGAGCAAAACGCCACTCTTGCTGCCATCAAAGACACTACAGCTGCATCTCACGAATTGCATGGATCTAATGCCACTGCTTTGAGCGAAATCAAAGACGCAACTGCTGCTTCCAGTGATTTCCACACCTCGCACGCTGCAACTTTGGCGGAGATCAAAGAGGCGACTTCTGGGTTGAGCGACTTCCATACCTCTCATGCTGCAGCTCTAGGTGAAATCAAGGACGTAACTACTTCTTCTGGTGATTTCAATGCCTCGCACGCTGCCACCTTGGCGGAGATCAAGGAGGCGACTTCTGGCTTGAACGACTTCCATACTTCTCACACTGCATCTCTAGGTGAAATCAAGGACTTAGCTGCTGCATCTAACGAATCCCACGCTGCTCATGCCGTCATGTTAACGGAACTGATTCCGTCAGGCGATGCAGTCTCTCACTCTGCACCTGATAGTCCAGACCTCGCGGCTTTAGAAGCCCATTTCACCAACCTTATGTCTACCCTGGAGGCCCAAAATGGGACTCTGGCAGAAATCAAAGACGCAACAGGAAATCCAGAGGTTCTTACGGCTGTTAAGGAATCTCACGAGCTACTATCGACACATACTCCACTTCTCGAGTCCATCCAGAAAGGTATTTCTCAGGAAGATATCCTGTCTCACATCTCAGAACTCAAGTCCGCCATTGAAGAGTCGAAAACCGGCATTGACGCCCACGGAGAGCTTGTCAAAGATCTACAAACCGAGACAAAGAGCTCACAATCAGAAGTCGCTCAAGCCATCGGCGCATTCGCTCTCGGTGGTGCAGCAGGAGCCGTTGCATCTCATAGCGAAGACAACAATTCCTCTGAGATCTTAGAAGAGGTCAAAGCTGTTCGAGCAATTGTGGAAAAGTCATCTGCTTCAATCGAGGGTACAGAGGGGAAGGTGACGTCTATGGTATCACAAATCGACATCAACCATACTACCATCACGACAAGTATCACTACGCTAAGTGATGAGCTCAAAGCTGAGATTGATGCTACTGGGACTCAGCTCACGGAGTCAATTAGCACTTTGAGTGGAGATGTGAAGGCTGTTGATGTCAGCTCGCTGGGTGGTGCTATTGATGGCTGTAGTCAGGAAGTCAAGGCCGTAGCTACCTCCATCGAAGCCCTTGAAGGGCATGTGAAAGGAACTAGCACTCACTTGTCAGACGGAATACATCTGAACGAAAAAGGTCTTGGTCAATTAAAGTCTCTCAAGGACCTTTCTCCCGCTACTGTTAGTGACAGAGGTGAAGTTATGCCTGAAGGCGCGTGGATGAGATCTGGATCGCCTACGATGTCTCGTCAGGTTGTTGAGGCCCCGGAATCATCGCCGGAAGATAAGGAGTATAGTTATCTTTCGCCGGTGGCTGAGGAGCAAAGCCCTACCAAGGAGGATACCCCGGTTCTCGATGAGGCTACGAAGGAGGAGGATGTTGCCACCCTGCCGTCACCAGCCATTGAGGAGCCAATTCCAAGTATTGAACCAGATGTCGTCGCCGAGGTATCGACCCCAACTATCGAATCAGAGTCCGCTGAGGAACCGACTCCGGCTATCGAAACAGAGTCCGCTGAAGAACCAACTCCAACTATCGAATCAGAGC